TGGAACATATGTTAAACCAATTAGACTGTAATTAATCAGATCCCCCCTACATCCCTTTTCAAAATTTGGTTACATTGGCCACTTTCTGGTCCTCGTGAATGAAGGCTGATCTTGGGGACAAGTTACATATTTTTGTTAGAAGATCAGAAATTTTATATTTGAGTTCTTTAAGAACTCTCAGATGGATGGCATCTGGATCCAGTGATTTGTTGATTTTTAATTTGTCAATAAGGCCTAGAACTCCATACCTTGTCATTTGCCTCATTTCCTCATAGTCACTTCCTAAGAAAGTTAAGTTAGGCACAGGGATTTGCCCTTCAACTCTGTCAGTAAAGACAGAGGCAAATAATTCATTCAGTTTCTATACAATCTCATTTTTGTCCTTTAGCTCACCTTTGACTCCCTTGTTGGCCAAAGGTCAGCCTCTTGCAGGTTTCCCTTTCTAATGATTTTAAGTATTTTTTCATTGTTGGTCTTAATGTTTTTTAGGTAAGTGTTCCTCAAATTCTTTCTTGCTTTCCGCATCTGTTCTTGTCTGCTTGCATTTTATTTGCCAGAGTTTGTATTCCTTTTCTTCTTCTCATTTGGACAAAACTTTCATTTTCTGAAGATAGCTTTCTTGCCTCTAATAGTTTGTTAAACATGACTCCGCTAGTTAACCTTGCTGACATCCTCTTAGTCTTGGTAGTACCTTTCCTGATTTGTGGTACAGGCGAACTAATACCAGTGTACTGGAAGAAGCAAATATCACCAGTGTTGAAGTGATGATTCTTCAACATCAACTTTGTTGGGCTGGTCATGTTGTGCGGATGTGTCTTCCAAAGCAACAACTCTATTCCAAACTTAAAAATGGAAAGCATAATGCTGGTGGTCAACAAAAGAGGTTTAAAGAATGTCTCAAGGCAGTTTTTTAAAAAAATTGTAGTATAAACACCAACAATTGGGAAACACTTGCCTGCTAGTGCTCCAATTGGAGAACAGCCTTTACCAAAGGTGTCACAGGCTTTGAAGATGCTCGAACTCAGGACGCAAGGGAGAAACATGCTAAGAGGAAGGCACACTTGGCAAACCCTCACCACGATCAACTCCCACCCGGAAACCAATGTTCCCACTGTGGAAGGATGTGTGGATCCAGAATTAGCCTCCACAGTCACTTACGGACTCATTGTTAAACCATGTTTATGGAAGACAATCTTACTCGGCTATGAGTGATCACCAAAGAAGAAGACACTCTTTGTTTTAGCTGAGCTATTATTGTGGTTTCGAATAACCTTGAAGCATTCTCGAGAGATTTGACCCTCTTGACTTTCTCTTTCAACTTCCTTGACAACAATCTCCTCATTTTTGAGAAGCTTTGTCTTCTGAATTCAAATGTGAGCATGTTGGACTTTATTGGTAAATGCCCACTTGCATATATATTAAAACTGGTAGCACTGTGGTCAGTTCAACAGCACATCCTGGGTGCCACTTAAAAATAAGGGTCTTCTCCCCTCTGGTTGGTTTCACAACCAACTATTCTGCAGCATGGAATTTAGGGTAACTAGAAATTTAACGTTTTTGTCAGAACTCAAGCTTGCATTTATCCCATCCGTGTAAAGGGAATTGTCACAAAGTACTGCCACATTTCCTTCCTGGGGAATCCTTGATTTCATGCCCCATTTTGGTAGCAGATGACATGCTTTGTATGTAAACGTTTCCAGGTCCAATCCTCAACGCCTTCAGTTAAAGGCTCAGTTAGAAGGAGGAGAAGTGGTGGAGTCTCCTTCTTTGGTGGAGTCTCTTTATTTGGAGGTCTTTAAGCAGAGGCTTGGGAACGCGGGTGGCGCTGTGGGTAAAAGCCTCAGTGCCTAGGACTTGCCGATCGAAAGGTCGGCGGTTCGAATCCCCGCGGCGGGGTGCGCTCCCATCGTTCGGTCCCAGCGCCTGCCAACCTAGCAGTTCGAAAGCACCCCCGGGTGCAAGTAGATAAATAGGGACCGCTTACTGGCGGGAAGGTGAACGGCGTTTCCGTGTGCTGCACTGGCTCGCCAGATGCAGCTTGTCACGCTGGCCACGTGACCTGGAAGTGTCTCCGGACAGCGCTGGCCCCCGGCCTCTTAAGTGAGATGGGCGCACAACCCTAGAGTCTGTCAAGACTGGCCCGTACGGGCAGGGGTACCTTTAAGCAGAGGCTTGACAACCATATGTCAGGAGTGCTCTGATGGTGTTGGACTCGATGGCCCTTGTGGTCTATTCCAACTCTATGATTCTATGATTCTAAGCCTCTTCTGAAGACCCTGGAGAATCTCTACCAGTCAGATTAGACAGTACAGAGTATGGACTGAACTAAGTAGTATGTACTGAACACAGAGTAGTACTGAACTAAGCAGACTAATAGCCTTTCCTAGTAAAAGGCAGTTTCCTATATTTCTGCATCTAGACCACTCATTAACTTCATTTACAGGCCTGTTGCAAGGCTAAAATGCTGCCAGGTATTGGTTGGAAAAAGGTTGTATACAAATTGGACAGTGGAACAGCATTAATCTCCACTGAAATAGACCAGGGCAAAATACCACTGACAGTTTGAATCTCAGTACTTGGTGAAATTGGCACTTAGGAACAGAAAAATATAAACAAGTTTATCATTAGATTATCTGACATCCCTTGACCCTCTGGGACCCTAGAGTGTCTCACAAGAAATGAACCGTTAGTTAAAATACATCAAACAAAACAAGACAAACATCACAAAAACAACCAGGGAGCTTTAACAGTTAAAATTATTAAAATAGAACCACATATGGCACAGTGATTCCAGTAGAACAGCAATGCAAGGAGTAATGGGAACGGCAAGATGAGCCATCTATCAAAATCATACAGCGGCATGCCCCAGCCTAGTGCACTCCACATGTTGAACTCCAACTCCCATCATCCTTGACCAATAGCCATGCTGACTGGGGCTGATGGGAGTTGTAGTCTCTCCCCCCAACCCCCCCTCAAACCCAGAGGGGCATTACATTGGGGAAGGCTGCCTTACAGAGTGGCCTTCTGGATCAGTGAGTGATTATTTAGCTGAGTATTCTGCTTGTGGGCTACCAGATGTCTCTGGAAAGCTCAATAAGCAGGGAACAGTCCCCACCCAATCTGTACTGTATCCTGATAATCAGCTGACCTTTTGGGGCTTCAAAGCACCACACCAGTCTCTTTGCAAGCCCCAGGGTGGCAATTTGGAGTCCCTATGATCAGCTGATTGTTGGGACTTCAAAGCATCATGTCACTTGACATCATTTTGACACCTGGTGATTAAAAGGAGGGTGAACCCCACCCAACTGCCAAATCTGGCCCACGGACAGGGGAGCAGGGGAGATAAGGCTCTGGCTGGATCCAGTTCCCTACTCCTTGTATAGACAATACTGAATGAGATGCACCAGTGGTCTGACTCTGTATAAAATAGCTTCCTGTGTCCCTTTGACTGGCTCCATCAGCGATCTGACTCAGTATAAGACAGCTTTACTGGTTCAGAACCAGTTTCTTTAGTTGTTGGGTTAAACTCTGGGGGGAAGCATAGATTTTTTTTATTTTACTTTTTTGCTTATTGCACAGTTGTTCTGATGGTTTGGTGTGGTCCTTCCGAAAGCTAAACAGCTCCTCTGTGCTTTCTAGGTACTGACTCCCCAACCATCAAGCCTGATGTGCAGCCAGTTTTTGCAACTTAAAGGATTATGTGAGAAAGTACTGTGAAATATCAAGCATGTTCTCCATCAGCCAGGAAGTCTGCTAGCTAGAGCACACTCCTGAGAAGGAAACTGTGAAGCTATTGTCAGAGGCCTCAGCTGACCCCACTCTTGGAATCTTTTCAACCACCTGTTAGTACATTGGCAAAGAGAATGGACTATGAGGAGCAATGACTGAAGGGGCTGCTCAGGAGGTCTGTGCTAACAAAAGCCTTCATAAGAAAGAGAGAGAGATGAATTACGAATCTTGAAGAGTGATCCATGGAAACAGGTCGTCTGATTAGGGTTCAGGTAACAAATTCCTAGGCTACGGTAAGTTGCAGTATGAATGAGTGGTTTTTATTACGAGCCACAGCACAGAAGAAGTGAACTGCAAATGGAATCCCAATTAAAGGTTGCTGTGGAATGGAGTATATGAGTTTTCTGTCCATCTGTATTTAGTTCAACCCAGTTGCTAAAGAGGATGGGGTTGATCTATACTGTAGTGTAAAATATAATTTCAGCAGATCATGCAAAGATGATAAAATCTTCATTTGCCATCTCAAATTAGATTCAGTACACATTTAAAGGTGAACCTACCAAATTTGCACTTTGTGGACAATTGGCAAACCAAAACACAATCATTTTTTTCAAATTCTCTGAATTTTGCAATGCAGCTCTCCAGCCTAGTAGTGTGCACAAAAATGCACATATTTGTGGCCATAACTTGCAAATATGCTATATATTAGGGGAAATTGCTTTGCAAAAATGTGTCAATTAGGAGAAATTCACACTAAAAAGCTGATGTATTTTCATGAGAACTTTTTTAAAAATTGCAAATTGATTCGGAAATGTGGAGAACTGAACCAAGAACTGGAAAAAAGAGAAATGATTCATCCATCACTAGTTCTGATAGCCTAATCATTTATGAGCTGGTGCAGAAACCCTTAAGGCTCAGACGGAAGAATTATGTGTAACCAGCATACAGAACCCCTGTAAACTGGTCCAGTGGAGCCCAGCCTCTGGCTCTTCTATTTTACCACACATCTCCTGCCTGGGCTCTTGCTTCTCTCCTTGTCCCTGCCCATTTCTCCTCTCTTTCATTGCTTCTCTTCATTCATTGGGTCTGCATACTCAGCCAAAACATTGAAAATTCTGAGAAATTTCACCTGGGTCTTAGTTTCCTCTCCTGTGTTCCAGTTCCCCATAGCCTGTCTCTCACCACTCACAACAAAAGTAACCTAGAAGTCTCTACAACCCACCACAACCCACTTGGCAGTCATCACTGAATCACACACATAAATAATCTACCAGCTTCTCCTGTTATGAATGACGAACTGTGCATCTTGTCTCAGTCTGCACAGGCTTGAATCTGCATGTGGCACTCTAGGCTTAGGAAATGGCTGTGCCTCTCTCCAAAGCAAGTTTCGGAAGGGTGATTCCTGCTGCTACAAAATCCATGGCCATCAGGATCCTCTCACCATTTCCCTCCAAACGTTTTCAGCCTCCGAGCCAGCTTTCCCACCCCTGCCTGATCCGTATTTGTGTTACTTGAGGTCAGTTATTATAAACCACAATTCGCTTCTCAGGAATGCAGTAAATTCAGCGGCTGTATAAATGGAGTTTCTATCGACGCTCACAGCTCTCAGGCTTGCGACAGCCAGTAATCCCCCACCCCATTCCAGTCCTCTGCCCCCTTCTCCCTTTCTCCTTCCAACATTAATGGTTTCCAGCTGTGTGTTCTTTGGATATGTCCCTGCATCGGCTTTTTCCATAATGTGGAGCCAGCCCACTTCCAAATCCCAGATGTGCTATTTATTTACTCTGCAGCATCTGGGTCTCGCTACGGTTCTGTCACTGCAACGTGGCAAACTTGTGAAAAATCAGACTGGCAGCCAGTTAACAAGCTGCATTACCCTGTGAGAACATTTCAAAGGAGAAAGTTAAAAGCCAGGAAAGGGTGTGTGTGTGTGTGTGTGTGTGTGTGTGTGTGTGTGTGTGTAGGAAAGGAGGGAGGGAATGATGGAAATCAGGAAGGAACAGACAATGTTTTTTTCTGTACCATGTTTTACAAGGTTACAGATGACTAGTAGTGACATTAACGTTGGAAGCCGGGGATTTTGCTCTTTTTGAAGAGGGTGCTGGAAACCCAATAAAGTCTATAGGAAGAAGGATGCATCTAACCACTGCCAAGGCAAGCATCTCATTACTAACTATTCCCTGGTCCAGACTCATAAATGGCACCTTCATGCAATCTATTGCAATGTACGCAAGTGAAAACTGGAAAGTGAGCGAGAGCCCCCACAAATCCTCTGGCTGCACACACGCCATATATTTAAACAGTGCTTTCCCCCCCAAAAATGTTTAGGGGTACTCTCATTTTCCTACTCATCTTGAAATACTGCCCCTCAATGAGGTCAAACTTAGAATCACAAAATGTTTAGGGGGTATGCGTACCCCTGCGTACCCCCAGAAAAAAAGCACTGGATTTAAAGCACATGACTTCCCCCCAAAAATCCAGGGAACTGTAGTTTGTTGAGGGAGCTGGGAATTGCAGCTTTGCAAGTGGTAAAATAAAGCCCCCAGAATTCTTTGTGGGAAGTACTTTAAATATACAGTTTGTGTGTCTGCAGTTAAAGCACCTTGGCAGCAGATAAGCCAGCTATGCTTGCAGTCAGGCATCTCTTGCTAGCTCAGGATAGTTCAGACTAAGTGATAGTTAATAGCCACATAACAGCTGTATTTGGGTGTTCCTTCTACTTTCATTAAAGCAAATAGGTGAGTGGGAGCAGCGGCAGGCTAGCAACTCACATCCCTTCCTGCAGCACATCTCTATCCTTTAGAGCCCTCAATGAGTTTGAGGACAAAGGTGTAAAGTAGGGAGTCTTCTCTATTTTTGGAGACCCCTTGTCCAATTTAGATTTGATTTTGTCTTCCAGGCAACATGGCAGAAGGTGTAGGGATTGGCAGTACACCTCTACTCTGTCTCATATATTTCTTTTGATGTAAGTAGATTGAATGCCTGGCTAGGGGTAGTAAGGTAATGGCAGTGGTAGGACTTGATCCATGCTAACTATAGGAAGGCTAGATTATTATTTTTTTGTCCAGGATTGTCTACTCTGACAGGTAGTGACTTTCCAAGATCTCAGGATGTTTCTTTCACATTACCAACTTCCTAATCTTTTTAAAGGGACGTGGGTGGCACTGTGGGTTAAACCACAGAGCCTAGGACTTGCCGATCAGAAGGTCAGTGGTTCGAATCCCCGTGACAGGGTGAGCTCCCGTTGTTCGGTCCCAGCTCCTGCCAACCTAGCAGTTCAAAAGCACGTCAAAGTGCAAGTAGATAAATAGGTACCGCTCCGGCGGGAAGGTAAACGGCGTTTCCGTGTGCTGCTCTGGTTCGCCAGAAGCTGGCCACATGACCTGGAAACTGCTCCGTCGGCCAATAAAGCGAGATGAGCGCCGCAACCCCAGAGTTGGTCACGACTGGACCTAATGGTCAGGGGTCCCTTTACCTTTAATCTTTTAAAGTGGCGAAGCCCGGGACTGAACATGGGATCTCCTACATGCTAAGCATGGGCTCTACAGCTGAACTATAAGTCTATAAGAGTTTAAGCATTTCTCCCTTCTTTTTTGGTGCATGTGCACAATATTCCCTAGAAATGTCAAAGTATGATGGCAACAAACACCTGCTTGGAAAAGCATATTGGTTATAGCAGGCAGTCAAGTTTGGCCATTACTCCCTCTAAGATGGAGAACTGAAGGCAAACAAAGGGACCTGCAATGGCAAAACCATCCATGAAATAGCAATAACCAATAGTGTTATATTTTCACAAAAGTTCTCCAAAAGCACATTATAATGTTGTGAATATACAACAAACAAGAGCAAAAGCTGAATGGTGAATGCAGTTATGCTAATCAAGGTCTACGGTCCACATCTGAAGATGTTCTAAAATCCATCCAAGCTGACATTCCTTTTAAATTATTTTTTATTCATTTTACAATACAAAAATATAAAAACATATAACACAATTTTTCACAAATACATTTTTTTGGAGTTCCCTCAGCTCTTCTGCAAATCCTCCATTTTAGTCCTTCTTCCGCATTTCTTAATCTATTATTGCCTTTTATTAAAAACCTCCTCCCTCTTATTCCCTTTTTTACAATATTTCTAATATTATTTTCACAGCCTCTTGCAAACCTACAAACGTTAATTGTTCATCGCAAATACTTTTCAAATAGTCTACAAATTTACTCCAGTGTTCAGTGAATCTGTGGTCTCGTAGGCCTCGGATCCTTCCTGTTAATTTATCAAGTTCTGCATATTCCATTAACTTCATTCTCCATTCTTTCATCGACGGTAATTCTTCTTGTTTCCATTTTTGGGCTAGCAGTATTCTTGCCGCTGTTACTGCGTATAAAAAAAGCTTATAATCTTTTCTGTTTATTTCATTTCCTATCATTCCTAACAAAAATGCCTCTGGCTTCTTAACAAATGTATATTTCAACATTTTTTTCAATTCATTATATATCATTTCCCAGAAGCCTCATCCACGCCGACATTCCTTAGTATTCTGAATCAATCTCTCTTGACTAAATATGATTTATCCATCAATCCATTTCAGGTTATTCTTATTCTCGCAGTTCACCCCTTTCTCCTGTTTTTGTTCTGGGTATTATGACACACAGTATGGCATATGAACATTTCCTACCATGTAATGAGGGAAAGAGACTAGACCTTCTGGTTCTGAATATAATGAACTGTGACTCTTCCGTGTTGACTTTGTGAAACTCTGTTTTGGTGTTTCCTTGCTGTATCCTGGGGCAGCCAAGGCAAGGGGAGATATTTGGAAAGTGACACTCAGGGCACATGCCACTAATAAATATTCTAGTTTTATTATAGGATGCTAAGAATTAAACACTGATAGAAATTTCCTCAGAAAATGTCAGGACAACAACATTACCAACATTTGAAATTTTGGTTCAAACATTTTGAACCAAGATGATAATGATGATTTTTACAATGGCACCAGAGCTTAAGGTTCCATTTTATTTGACCCTCGAGACACATGTTTAAACAGATGTCACAGCTGTTAAAAAATGGAATTGAAGTTTCAGATGTGGAAGGCCAAAAGTCAAAACTTTATTAAGGTCGTCACCCCAGAAACAAGATATTCTGTAAATCTGAAATACCTTATATAATCTGACTTCAGTTTAGAAGTTGTTTTTCCAAATTTAAAACACAACTAGTTTCAGTAGTTTCAGGTTCCACAATGCTCAAGCCAAGTGTCCATCATTTATGCCCCAGATAAAACAGGATGTGTACACATGGTGTGATAATGTTCATTCAGTGCTGGATGCAGGTGCTGTACAAAAGTTGTAGTCCAAGTTGCAACTCCACCCACCCCTAGGCAGTGGCTAAAGTAAGGAGTGATGAAATAAACTCAAGCAGAGAATGATCTGGACTAAAAATGGCCACAACTTTTATTGATTACAGATGTAGGTGGAATTTGGCTCAGGTATTGAGAAGATATCAACCCCATGGTGTCCTTATCCCGCAAATATCTATATATCATCTATCTATCTATCTATCATCTATCTATCATCTATCTATCATCTATCTATCTATCTATCTATCTATCTATCTATCTATCTATCTATCTATCATCTATCTATCTATCATCTATCATCTATCTATATCTATCTATCATCAATCTATCTATATCTATCTATCTATCTATCTATCTATCTATCTATCTATTAATCTATCTATCATCTATCTATCTATCATCTATCTATATCTATCTATCTATCTATCTATCATCTATCTATATCTATCTATCTATCTATCTATCTATCTATCTATCTATCTATCTATCTATCATCTATCATCTATCTATCATCTATCTATCTATCTATCTATCTATCTATCTATCTAATCTATCATCATCTATCTATCTATCTATCTATCTATCTATCTATCTATCTCTGTATGTCTGTAGGAATACTAATTGATGGGAGAGAAATAGAGAGCACCATTGTGTACTAGTTGGATTACATGCCCACCTGTGTGTGCAGACAATGCAGACAGTAGCTGCCAGTTTAGATGGCTTTATTGCAGGAAGGTGTGTAGAATGGCTATGCACAAAAGTGCATTGTGAAAAAAATGATCCCTGTGCATTTCAAAGGCTATGTGTGTACACAGCTTAGATTTTAGTAGGGTGGCTAAAAGGAGGCAATTCTGGCCCTAACTGCTCCCCTATGAAAAATTTCACCATACGCCACTGGTACCGTTACACTGAGCTGCGGCCCGAACGATAGCTTTGCATATGTTGTGGAAATGGTGAGGGTTGGGGAGTGAGAAACACCAATTTTTGTGTGCGGCCTCTTCCCTCTCCTTCCCATTGAGGCAGCATGCAAAGTGATTCTGTCATGGCTGCTTTTCTGCAATCAGATTTCATCTGTCTGTGCCTTATAGATGGATATATTTACTGGCTTTTAGTTCTTTGGTTCCTTGTTGAATAACTATGTTTGCGCTGAAGCACTGCCCTGACTGCAGAAGGAGCAGCTTGGGGATTCTGTCAGTCAAGGTATCCCTTGAAGCACTGCAGTAAAACCTGAGGTTTAACTTTCAGGACCGGCCAAACTGAATATGTCCTAGGAGCT